TACCACTACTGTGCATGTGTGTCAAGGACAGAAAGGCAGATGTGGCAGTGGAAGGTGTCAAAGCAGTTTGGAGAGAAAAACAAAGTAAAGAACAAAAAAAGAAAACGATTAATCGATTATTAAATTAGTCATCGATTATTTTAATAATTGATTAATCGTGGCAGCCCTACTCTCAGCTACTACCACACCAAACTTCAGCTCAGTATCTGTGGATTTCCTGTAAGTTCAGTTAAAATCTGTCCAGCTGACCGTGAGAAATTTTGCTAACAGACAGGTTGTGTCACAGTTAACCCTAAACCCAGATCTCAGAGTAAAAGTAGGGGATACTGCTCAGCTACTACCACACTAAACTTCAGCTCAACATCTGTAAAACTGACTGAGTTTTTATTATTTTTGACTTTGTTTTGGTTGATCAGCTGTGGCCGCCATCTTGAACAGGGCCATGGATCATAATGGTGACCAAAGACAGTGTAAGGTGTTGATAATGAACAAACATTTGTGTTGTGGAGGTCCACATACCCTGATGGGGCATGGTGATGGTGTCGTTGGCGTTGGCCGAGCCCACGTTGAAGATGACCACCGCCGAGGCGTTCTGGGCCGCGGCGTGCCGGATCTTGTCCTTGTAGGTGCAGTTCCCCGCGGCGATCAGGGCGACCCAGGCCCCGGCCTGCGACGGCACCGCGAACCGGGTGTTGGGGTCGCAGGCCTGGCGGTCCAGCGGGGCCGCGGGCAGGACCACCACCCCCTTGGCGTCCCGCTTCGGAGAGTGCTCCCCGTAGCGGCCGCACTCCGTCTTCTCGGTGCGCAGCTCGGAGGTGGCCGGGTCCACGTAGGTGATGTTAACGAAGGCGGTGTACCACTCCTCCCGCTCGGCCACGGTGAAGTCCAGGCACAGCAGGTGGACGAAGCAGAAGGACAGCAGCCAGGTGGAGAGGGCCAGGCTGCGGCAGGCCGCCACCAGCGAGCCCGGGGCCATGGTGGCGCGCCTCCCCCGGAGCGAGAGGTTGAAGAACGGCGACAGCTTCAGCTCCGACACCTACTCCACCATGCTAACCATCCAACCGGGTCAAACTTTAATTATAACTTCTCAAAACCAATGATGTCCTCCCGTTTCAGTCGCTCTCCTCCGCTGGTGTCGGGCTACCGAGTAACGGATTCCTGCTAGCCGTCTCCATTTCCAGGCGACTCCGCGGACAAAACAAACACGGATAAATCCGAAAAACACCGAGAGCTGGGAGGGTGTCCACCCCCGGCCCGATGCGACCGAACACCGCCGGAATAAAACGCCAAACACGGGGGTTCAGAACACCGACAAGTCGGTCTCTTTTAAAACAATTCTTCTCCTTTTCAGCTGAAGCTACGCGAAGCTGCAAGCTAGCTGAGCTGCATTGTTTTGACTCTGGTCAGTTCATCCTAGTTAATGGGGAAATCTGGTTCCGGTTATTATTTCAAAATAAAAGTCTCATTCCTTTAATTAAATAGCTTAGTAGCTTAAATATATATTTAGTAATGTTTATAATGATATACGTTTTCCGTAATTTCTTAAATACTCTTGCTCTGACTCGGTTTTAAGTAAGTAATTTGGCAAAATTATGACTTTACTTATTTATTTTGAAGGTCATAATAATAAACTTCTGTCAATACAGTGTGATCCGTCAAGCTACGCAACACTGCCATCTATCGGTAAAAGAAATATACAAAATAATTTAAAAACATGACAAATACACAAATCTATCGCTGTCATATCAGCTTCAACTTCAAACTTGTGGCTTATATAACATATTGTTTAAACTACTATTCCTGAACAGTGGCAAATACTCCTTCCTTGTTCACAATTTCTCCGCTCCCTCCTGCACAGATCTACAAACACAAGGATGGGTGTAACCATTGGCAGTAACGGAAGCGTCATGATGTGTAGATCTACTAGCTTTAGTTACAAGCGAAACTGGAACTCATGCTCGTTCTTTGTGGGAGGAAACATGGCGCAGAAAAGAAACTTGGACCAAGAAAAGTTTTCTTGTTCGATTTGTTTGGATCTCCTGAGGAAACCGGTGACCATCCCCTGCGGGCACAGCTACTGTAAGAGATGTATTAAAAGCCACTGGAATACCGAGGAGCGGAGGGGGACCTACAGCTGCCCTCAGTGCAGGAAAGTTTTCAGACCGAGGCCTGGTCTGGTGAAAAACATCCTGTTGGCTAATTTGATGGAGGAGCTGAGGAAGACTGACCAGCATGCTGCTCCAGCTGGAGCTGAAGATGTGTCCTGTGACGTCTGCTCTGACAGGAAACTGAAAGCTGTCAAGTCCTGTCTGAACTGTTTGGCCTCTTATTGTGAAAAACACCTCCGACCTCACCATGAAGCTCCGCCATTACAGAAACACCAGCTGGTGGAGCCCTCCAAGAAGCTCCAGGAGAACATCTGTCCTCGTCAYGATGAGGTGATGAAGATCTTCTGTCGTATTGATCAGCAGTGTATCTGTTACCTCTGCACCATGGATGAACATAGAGAACATGAAACTGTCTCAGCTGCAGCAGAAAGAGCTGAGAAGCAGAAGGAGCTGGAGGAGATCCGACAACAAATCCAGCAGAGAATCCAGGAGCGAGAGAAAGATGTGAAGCTGCTCCAACAGGAGGTGGAGGCCATCAATGTCTCTGCTGATAAAACAG